CCTTTGCCGTGTTCACTGCTCGCCGCCGCCCTAAAAGATCCCAACTTCAGCCTCCAAGGGTCTTGCGCCCTGACCACAGGCCCTTTATATACGTTTTGACTGCATCTCACACCGATCTTCGCCCGCTGGCAGTGCGCGCCCTTGCCTTGGCCCCTCGGCGCCTGCTGTGGTGCTCCTCCGGCGCCTGCCTCCTGGGGCCTCTCGCCGGCTGCCTCGCCCGAGCCTCTCTCTCGTGGCCTCCCTGGCTGGCCCTGGCGCTGCCCGCCCTCGCTGCCAAGGACGGTCAACGGAGAGGAAGCATGTTGCCAAATACTTTCCAGATGTCTAAGACATGTGTTGAACATGTGCCAAGCATGTGTTAAGCATGTAAACATCATGCTTAAAAAACATGCTGAGAACAGCTTTCCGACACTATTAGCACATTTCAGATTCAATGATAGGACTGTTCGGGTGCCCATTGTCGTGGCATCCGCAACAAGAACCCGTTTCTTCATTCTTGGGGCGTGACGGGTGTCATGGCCCTCGCCCCCCGTCCCCCCCCCTATGACGTAACGCTCCCCCCCCAGTGCGCTACAGGCGCTGCCGCCGTGCGTTTTGGGATCCGCGGAGGTGTCCGCGCAGGAATCCGCATAGGAGTCTGGTCCGCAGTCGTCGTCGCCGTCGCCGTCGTCGTCGCTCGTGGTTTGTCGCTCATTGCTCATTGCTCATACTCGTCGTGCGCGCGGACACGGCTGAAACCTGTTTTTTATTCCGGGCCGATGACGGCAATCATCTAGGGGGGGGGACGGGGTCGATGTCGTCACGTGTCGCGCCGGCGGCGTCTTGGAGTGCTTAGGAATGACGGAGGACGGGTAGCGCCAGCATGTAGGTTGCGATTTGCACCACAACGCCTGTGTACACCACAGCGCCTGCGCGCTCCACAGCGCCTGTGTACACCCCACCGCCTATGTACACCACAGCAGCCGCGTGCAACACAGCGTCAGATTGTGCCACCGAGCCTGCGGGCACAACAGCTCTTGTGCACACCACAGCGCTTGCGTACACCACATCAGCCGTGTGCAACACAGCACCAGTGTACACCACAATGCCTGCTCGCATTGCAGTGCCTGTGTGCACCATGGCGCCTGTGTGCACCACAGCAACCGTGTGCAACACAGCACCAGTGTTGTATATAGAATGTCCGAACGAATCCTTATGACAAAATGGAGCGCTTGTGGATTCCACAGGAAATAATATATAATAATCCTCAGGGATAACGGAGCGCCACTAGAATCTACGAGTCCCCCCGAGTCCGCCCGCATCACCCTAACTCCTCCCATCTGCGTCCAGGAAGCTCCAGTTAAATTGGCCGTCCGAGAGCCAAGTGGACCGATTCAATAGACCATTTTGCGGTGCGCGCTCAGATGCGCACGTGCGCTGTAGCGCCAACCCGCACGACAGGGGGTAAGGAGGAGGAGGAGGAGGAAGAGGAGGAGGAGGAGGAGGGAGGAAGGAAGAACGTCGCATTCGATTATCAGCACTTCCCTGGCGTGGCGTCTAGTTGTCCGCAGCAGATCCTCACGTACATGCTCATTCTACCTGTCCTATGCACGCAGGCATTGCGGTGTACACCAGCGCTGCGTTGCACGCGGGTGCTGTGGTGTAGACGCGCGCCGTGGCGTGCACAAGCGCTGCGGTGCACGCAAGCATTGTGGTGTACACAGGCGCCGTGTTGCACATGGTAGCTGCGGTGTACACATGTACACCGGCGCTGTTGTGTACGCAAGCATTGTGGTGTACACAGGCGTTGCGTTGCACACGGTTGTTGTGGTGTACGCAGGCGCTGTGGTATACACGCGCGCTGTGGTACACGCGAGCGTTGTGGCGTACACAGGCGCAGTGGGGCATATCGTCACCTACATGCTGCTCGCGTCGTCGTCGTCGCTCGTTGCTCGTCGCTCGTCGCTCGTCGCGTCGCGCGCGCGGGCGCGGCTGCAGTGCCGGAACCACACGGCGGGGGGGGGGGCGTTACGTCATACCCCCCCCCTTTGCCCCCCCCCCATGACGCCCGTCATCGCCGAACATGAAGAAACGCGCTCCAATGGACCTGATGCGTGCCCCCCGTCTCAGAGGAGGGACAGGTACCCATGCGGCGACACGCGCCTCGTTTTCCCTCTTTTGTACCTCCTGGAAGGCCCTCGTCGCCACCGCTGGATTCGCCTCGACATCTTGGTCAGAACGCGCCCCGGGAGAGGTCCAGGGAGTGGCGGTATCGGTGCCTTTTGATTTCCCCAGACTGCCCCTGAACCGGACGTGCGCCCCCCGTCGCCATCCACTTCCTTTGCCGTCATTTGTCCTGGGCCGTCCCTGGACCTGGTGCTGCCCTTCCTGCGTCGGGGACATCTCTCGCCTCCCTTGTCTATGACTCGTCCCCTGCCCTGGGTGCTGCCCTCCTTCGATGCCTATCTCATTCGCCGTCCGTGTCTTCAGCTGTTCCCGGCCTGGTGCTTGCGGTTCACCTGTGCGTCGCCGCCAGTCTCTTTCGCCGTCTGTCCCCGGCTGTCCCTTGCACCTTCCTGTCTAACGACTCTCTTATGTCTGTCCCCGTGCCAGAATTTCCTGTCTGGAGGGAGCATACCCAAACGGCCCACGACCTTGGAGTGATGGTGGTGTCTCCACTGGTGGCACAGAAAGTTGTTGAACGTGTGCAGTCCGCGTCCCCTTGGGTGCATTTCTCATCGCGCAGGCAAAACGGAGTCTCTGGGTGTCTCCGCATACGTGTCGCTATGCCAGGGGGGACTGCCATACAAAGACTTGCGGCTTGAAGTTGGAGACGGAATGCGCGTCCACGTGCTCAATTCTGTTGTTTCCCTCCTCGTGACACCGCTCCTGCACCGATTCGTTGCCGAGTCCAGGATCTGCGTGGTCGGGCCTGATTGTGGAAGGCTGCCTGCGCTCGGCAGCCGAAGTTTGCAGTGAAGTTTGCAGTAGTGCGGTGGTCCCAAGGTGTTTCTGTTCACTTCTGTTGGTGGTTGTGGGTCGACTGCTAATCGACGGCTCACGCCCTCCTCGCGCTCGCTCGCGGCAAAACATAGCCACGTTGGCCCAAGCGGTGGGTGCATCGTGCAGCGCGCCTGGCTACGTTATGACAGACCAGCTTGCTGTGGGGCAGCGGGTGTGGATTAGCCAGAGGTCAGGGGCAACATTAGGGGTGGGATAGGGTCAGCGGGGGGTACATGGAGCCCCAGTCGCCCATTGATCGCCGAGAAGGGCCCGATAGCCCCACCCCGCCCAGGACCATGAGGATTTGCTATCGGGGGCCTATCGCCGATCTATCGGTGATGCATCGCCGATTCCAGCTCGGTGTCTCCCCCCTGAGCTGGTCCCCCTCGAACGTTCCCCTCAAGAGGGCCGGCTACATCCGCTACCTGGACGCCACCCAGTTTGCCGACGGCACATGGGTCGGCATTGAGCTGGACGAGCCAGTAGGCATCGTGCGAAGAGAAATGTGCGCATACACCGATACCAGGCAGGGACCAGGCCAGCATGGACCAGGCCTGGATCGGTGTATGTGCACAGCTCCCCTTTCCGTCCACAGGCAAGAACAATGGCACCGTGAAGGAGGTCCAGTACTTCGCCTGCAGCGCGAACCACGGGATCTTCGTCCGCCCAGCCCAGGTGCAGACCGAGGCCCCGCCTGTGGTCGAGAAGAAGCCCGAGAAGAAGGCCAAGGCGCCAGCGCCCCCGGGCGCCGCCGACGCGGCCGCCAGCGCGGCTGCGGCGCCCGCGCCCTCGCCGAAAAGGACCTCGACGACGCCCAAGGTGGCGGCGCTGCCCCAGGCGGCCAGGGCGCCGGCCGCCGCCGACGCGGCGGCGAGTCCGGTGGGGACGCCCAGCCCCTCGGCGACGGTGAAGCGGACCTCGACGGCGTCCAGCTCCGGCGCGGCCAAGGCGGCCCCGGCGGCGGCGTCGCGGTCGTCGCCTGGGGCGGCCAGGGCGTCGGTCGCCACCAGCGCCACTGGGAGCCCCGCGGCGTCGCCCAAGGTGCGGACTTCGGTCTCGTCGAGAGGGCCGGCGGCGGGCGACGCGGCGAGGCCGTCGCGCATCGCCGGCGCGGAGTCCCCCGCTTCATCGCCGAAGAGGGTTTCAACGGCAAGACCCCAGGGGCCTTCGGCAGCAGGGGACGCAGCCAAGGCGCCTCCTACTCGTCTCGCGGGGGGCGAAATTTTTGTGCCACCACGAGAGGGCGAAGTTAGTCGCGCGTCGCGGTCTGGGCGATTTCAGAGCGAGGCGCGAGTCCCTCATCCTGTTCTGGGGGTGGGGGGCGGCGCGACAGCGCGAAGATAGTTGCCCTATAGCCGCAACATGCAGAGGAGGGAAGGGGCATTGATACGGCTATCCTTTCCTCGGACTCGCAGTCTAGCAGTATCAGTACCTGTTTGTCCCCCCAGAAACGGGTACGGAAACGATGAGCACGAATCTTGACAGCAGTTCGCAGTTCTTGTCCATTTTTGGCCAGGTTCGCTGTCGGCGTCTTCGCGGATGTTGTCCATTTGAGCAAACATTTCGGCTGCCCAAGAGCGGCCGCTTTCGGTTTTGAACAATTTTTGCTGTTGGGCAGCATGACCATTTTTTCCCGTACTCATGTCTGGTGTCAAAATGTTTTTCTTTTTCTTCGTTCGTTGGTTGGTTGTTGCCAAAGGTGTCCTTGGCCACAAGGTGTCCCCAGCATGTCGGGCCGTGTAGGTGGAAGGGCAGGCACCAGCTCTGCTGCACGCAGTGCAGCTGGTTTCTACCACGCCGCGTGGCAGCTCTCTCGAGACGGTCCATCCTGGCGCCAGTATGCGCCAGGGAAGCCCTATCTGACTACATTCGAAGAAACATTGCATAAACATGTACTTTCGGAGGTCCGCGCGGATCTCATGGATTGGCGCCAGACCCCGTTTTGGGCCCGCGCGGAGCGCGCCAGGTGCGGCGCCCGAGGCGGTGCCGGCGGGGTCCGGCGCCAATCCAAAAAATCCGCGCGGATTTCCGAACGTGTATGCTCATGCAGTTTTTTTGTTCTTCTATACATGCAGCTGGTCCGCGCCAGCAGCCCGCCTTTGCTTGAACCCCCCGTTCGTCCACTCCGACGGCCGTCACGAGGCCAGTGGGCCAGAGTGGCTTGCCGAGGCCTTCCGAGGTCTCCCGATGTTCCTGAAGGTCATCCGATCCCCCTCCCCTTAGGATGTCTCACGCGGAGGCCGTCCAGCGAGAGAGCTCGGCGTTGATACCCAGCAGGGCTCTTATCTTTGGGGAAGCGTAAGGCCCGAGTGCGCCAGAATTCGGGTTTGTCGATGTTTTTAGGAGCGCGTCCTGAATTTTGACGGTCCAGTGTTCGTAAGATGTCTGCGGCGGGAGCTCGCGTCAATCTCAGACCAGGTCTCGTCATTTTCCCTGACGGTCCCGTGAGGACAACCCGAGTCCCCCGAACCCGAGTGTTGCTTCTCTCCGACAGAATGGTGGCGAATCCCTAGCCCTAAGATTGCCATCGCCTTTTCTCGGTACCGACCTTGAGGATCCACATCCCTAAGGCTGTCATCGCTTTGGGTTTGTACATCTTCTGGGTAACTGCAACTCCTGGGAGGCTACATTCAGCATCGACATAGTCCCACTTAAGCACGCACAATCCCCTGCAATTCGGCCAAATCCCATGCTCAATCGAGCTTGATCTGAACCGGGTTTAATCCGAGCATTTTCTTTGGGTTGAGGGCAACGGGTGAAATCTGAAATGCCGTTTCGATGGATTTTCGAGGGTCGAATCTGCAAAATGTAAATCACAAGACGGATTAGTTTTCGAGGTGCAAAAGCCCATGTGGATGTCACCCTGAGCCCTGGACCCCAGGACAATGCCCAGTCAGCGACCCCTCAATCGGGCGTGGTGGCCTGCAGTCGTCCTCACAACGACCTCCTAGGAGCTGCCTCCGGAGATGGGGATGGGCTCAGGGCTTGCTGCACCATGCGAAGCCACACCCGTCTCTCGAAGCCAGATAATCTAGTTTTTGAATTCCGATTTTTAATTTAAACTCAAAACAAACAAGTTTTTGAATTCATTAAAAAAAACTGTTTTTCACCCCATGCGGAGTCGCACCCTTCTCCCTTCCACCTCGAAGCGAGGCCGCCGCTGCCGACCCCTCGGAGGCGGCGCAGCCCGCGCAGTCCGCGCCTGAGGAGGCGGAGGCTTCCTTCCCCAGCGGCTCATCGTCGTCGTCGTCGTCGTCGTCGTCGTCGTCGTCGTCGTCCCGGGGCCCCCAAACGGTGCGATGACCACGCTGCCTGGTGAGTCAGCGGGGATTCGGGGCCACCGCACGGTTGAGGCACGTGGGGCGTTCTCCGAGGATGTCTCGGGCCACTGGGGCCTCCAAGGTCCCAACACCGTGCGGCGACCGACCAACAGGTGAGGTCTTCTGGGATGTCAACATTATTTAATCGCTTCGCTCATGCCGCCGGCCCTGGAGCCCCCTTTAGGGCCTCTTGGGGGCCTCTTGGGGACCTCTTGGGAGTCTCTTGGGGCTCCTTGGCGGCGTTTTGGAGGCCCCCAGGGCCTCTTGGGGGGCTCTTGGGGGTAGTCGATTGCGGCTCCCCCCTCGGAGGCCACGATCCTCGTGAGGGGTGTCGAAAAATACCCTCCCCTGGAGTGGTCTGGTGGCTTCTCCCGGGCTTCTCTCGGGACCTTGCCGGGGTACTTTTCGTCCAGGGGCCCCCAGGGGCCGCTCCGCGCGCGCGAACTAGAAATATTGTTAACAAGTTACCGGAGATCTTAGCACGCCTCTGGCCCGTTGGGCCGGCGAATTGTACGTTCCTTCACCAAACCGTTTGGAGGCCTCGAAGTCGCATTCGTCGTCGTCGTCGTCGTCGCCGATCGAGGGTCCGTCGCCGAGGATTGAGGCTTTCAGTGTTTTGGTTTTTGGATACCTCTGGGGACCTCCAGGTAACTCAGCCGCAGGGCAGGCGCCCCACCCTCGTCTTCGCTGCCGAGACGGTCAGCCGGTGCCAAACATTTCCTACGCGCCCTCTTGCCACTCCGCCCTCACCTTTTCTTTTGTTGTCGTCCTCCTCTGCTCCGTTCCGTCTTCTCCTCCTTCCCCTCCTCCTTCTCCGTCCTCCCTTGGTCGCCCTCGTTGCCTCTCCTGCTGCTCCTCTGCCCCTCCTCTTCCTTCCCCCTGCCAGCGGGCGCGACAGCGCGCTATCGGTACTCGCGCCGAGCCGCCCCCGCCGCAAAGATCGCTTCCGCAGGCGCGTCGTCACGGCTCCCCCGCCGCAGCTACGCTTAAGTCGGGCCTGTCCCCCTACAGGGGGATTTTCGACGAAAAATAAAAAATACCCTAACAATAATCAAAGAATAGTCCAAACATAGTCCGGGGACTATTTTTGGAATATTTTTTGACCGTTCTGGAGTATTTTTGGGGTATGTTTTATTGTTCGTCGAAAATCCCCCTGTAGGGGGACACGCCCGACTTAAAGCTACGCCTTGAAGCCCCCGGTCTTTCGAATGATCCCGAGCTCGCCGTGCAGGGCCCGCGGTCCGCCGACCAGCATCGAGCAGTGGCGAAGCGTCCTGGCGTGCCTACAGGCCCACCAGAGAATGATCCAGGAACCTCTTGTGGTCTGCACGAAACGTTCTTATCGCAGGCCTAGAGGTTGACACCAACACCAAGATCGGCGGTGTGCCTCCTCCGAGGGAAGTCGATCCCAATCTCGGTGATGGTGGTAATATTCTGGCTTCCAAGGTGACCGAAAAATTACCACCAACACCGAAATCTAGGATCATCTTCCCCATGTGGAGGCAACCCCCTGTGCTAGCGTTGGTGCCAATGTCCAGGCCTCCAATCTTAGAACACTTCTGGCGGGGACTGTCTTGTTTCAACACATCGGCTTTCGGTCGGTCCTTGTCCAAGTTCAGGGCCCGCAGGCCACCGACCAGCAACCGCGGCCGAGCCCGGCCGCATCGACGAGGAGCCCAACATTAGTGCGAACTGACAGGCGCTGGATCGCGCCACCCTCGCCAAACCCGGCCGCCTCGGGAAGCTGGGGGTGGGCCCCTTACCCCCTCGCTTCTCTCCTCCTCTTTCTCTCCTTCCCAGGGTTTTCTGCAGAGGGCCCCTGAGACCCCAGAGGCCTGGGGGCATCCAGTGGCCCAACACCTGCTTTGTCGCGGCGATGGCGGACGTTCAGCGTGGGCAAAGCGGCGAACTTGGACGCGGAGTCGCGAACGGAGCGCAGGAGGCTGCAGGAAAGGGAGGGGCGGGGGCGGCCGCGGAGGGAGGCGGCGGGAGGAGACGCGCGCTCAGATCGCGTAGACCTTCGCGGGAAGTGCGGGCGGCTTCGAAAGAGCTGACAAACAACACCCGTACCTCACATCTATACGTCCCTCCGAATTCCTGGGGTGGAATTCTGGGGGGGCTATGCATGCGCGTTGTCAGACGGGGGTCCCCGCTCGAACGGGAGCCCCCTCGGGGTCCGTCATTGCACCCATGCCTACAGCGCTTACATCGCCTTGTTCGTCCCCATTCCTCCTCACTACAGGTTTGAGTGTGTGTCGTTCGTTGACCATTGAAACCTCCAGGAGGCTTACAGCAGATATCCTCTTACCTCGATGCTCTTCCTCCCTCTCCCGATGATCCTCGGGACACGTGTTAGCTCAGTGTACGTTGACCCTGGCCAGCTCCACCATTGGCGCGCAGACCGTGTGGGCGCTCGTCACGCCGCCTGCGTCGTTTTGAAGGGATTCGGTGGACAAGCAACCTTGGCGCTTACTACTCTGCGAAACGCAAGAGTAAAACAAATGAGGGTCCGCACGCATTTATTGGATCATCGTTGGACCCAAAGGCGGCGCCTCCAACGCCGATCCAATGACTCCAAACGGACCTCCGAACGTTTCTATATATTTCTGGCACTGTGTTTCATCCTCTGCTACATTAGGCGCGTCGTGGAAGAGACCTGCCTGCCAGCAGGTGCCCCACGGATGTCTCTTGTTCCAAGGCCCCCAGGGGATGCACAGAGGCGTTGGGGCATTTCGGGAAGTTCAACCTTCGACGACGAAGGTGCCCCAATATCCACTGTAGCAAGGCCTCGGATCGAAAGTGTCTACAGTCGACACGCATCGTAAGGATGAACGACTTTCCAAGGTTACTGTTGCATCCTTCCCTTTCGGCACATCTTTGGCCGCGTTTGCTGGCCGCGCCCCGCTCGTAAAGGTGCCAGCATGGCGGCTTTCCAAGGCCCGTGCATCCTTCTCGTGCGCCCTTCTGATACGGGTTGACAAGCAAGGTTTGTGATCGAAGGTGTCTACCGTGGCATGCGCTCTGGGGACCATTGGTTCTCCTTGAATTTTCCTCCTGCGAGGCCGTGGCAGTGACCCCCGCGGAGACGGCGCCGCCCGCGCAGGCCTCGCCCGAGGAGGCGGCGGCATCCTCGTTGTCCTCCTAGTCCTCGCACCGTGCGCACGCGTGCGCGACTTGTTCCGTTCTTGAGGCGGAAGAAGAGATTAGCAGCCTGATGCATGCATGCGCTTTGGGGGGGTCAACCTTTTGATTTTTCAATATGAGAAAAAGCGTTTCGCGGTATGGGAAGGGCACGCAGCATTGGCAACCAGGTGTCACGAAACGAGATTGGTTATGTCGTGCGGTGAGCATCGCCAGGGCCATTTTTTCCAGACAATGGTTGCACTTAGGGGTCCTTGCTGTTGTTCGAAGGGACTGGGCCGTGTCTCCGGTCTGGCGGCTATGCGCCCACCGTCGTCGCCCCGTCGCCGCCTTGTCGTGGCCCGTCGTCCGGGCCGTGTCGCCGATCTGCCGGCTTTGTGGCCGCCGTCGCCGCCCCGTCGCCGCTTCGTCGCCGCCTCGTCGCCGCCCGTCGCCGCCGTTGGATTGCACGGAAAACGAAACTCGCCTGCGGCGCAATTGTTGAGCTCTCGCGACACAGATTGAACCACGCATATTACCCAACATATATCGCACCATATAGATAGCACAATATCTGCTGCACAATGACAAAGGGTGCACAACATACATTGCATCATATGTATCGTACAGAACAGATTGCTCGACCACGTAAATTTCACAACGCATCTTGGACCGCAAATTTTGCATACCACGTAGATCGCACCACATAGATTGCACAAGGCAGGTTGCACAACACCAAATGCACCACGTAGGTGGCACCTTACCCCTATATCACAAAATAGATTTCGCACCACATTCGTTGCACCACGTTGATTGCACACATTAGAGTCCATCTCGTCGGTTGCGCAAGACGATCGCGCCACATTCATTGCACCACTTTGATTCTCCTTTCGAAAAAGAGAATAGACTCTCCCCCCCCCCCCGGCGTTATTCCCCCCCCTTTCGGGTATGTAAATTATTTATGATTCTGCCCACATCTCCATCCTAAATATGAATTCGCACTATCCCAGGGGGGCCAGTATCGCTGCCCCTGAGGTTCCCTTGTAAACAATACGCGGGGACATTTTTTGTTCTAACATCAGACTTGTTCACGAATCCCTTGCAACAAACTTGACGAAGTGCACACGCGCGCGTCGTCGCGCGCGCATGCCGAAATCCTTCAAAAACCTTCGGTGTCGGAAGGATTTCGCAATCGAGTTTCCAAAACACATACAAAAGCACAGGGTTTCGCAACACTGATTTGCTAAAAGAGCTTCCGCGCGAGCTCTTGCGAAATCTTAAGAAAACCATAGGTTTTTCAAGATTTTCACAGACTGCTACCAAACGGGCTTCGCGCGCGCATGTCGAAATCTGTCGAACGCCCTTGCGCGTGTGCCGTCTCGAGAATTCTTTGCAACAAATGGGACGAAGTGCAGACGCGCGCGTCGTCTCGCGCGTATGCCGAAAACCTTCAAAACCCATCGGCTTCGGAAGGATTTCGACATCGTGTGTCCCAAGAATGTATAAAAACACAGGTATCGCAACACGGCTTTTCAACAAAAGCGTGCGCGCGCGTTCTTGCGTCGTCGTCGTCGCCGTCCTCCCTCCTCCCGCGTCGTCGTCGTCGTCGCCTACGTCGTCCTCTGTCTTTCCTCGTGTTCGTCGTCGTCGTCCTCTTTGGCGCCGTGGTCGTTTCCGTCGTCGTTGTCGCCGTGGTCGTCCTTCCTCCTCCTCCCTCGTCGTCGTCGTCTGTCGTCGGCGTCTCGTCGTCGTCCCTCCCATTTCGTCGCCGTCGTCGTCGTCGTCGTTGTCGTCGTCGTCGTTTTCCCTCCTCCCTCGTCGTTGTCGTCGTCGGCGTCGCCGTCCTTCCTCTTTCTTCGTCGTTCGCGTCGTCGCCGTCCTCCCTCCTCCCTCGTCGTTGTCGTCGTTGTCGTCGATGTCGTCGTTGTCGCCATCGTCGTCCTCCCTCCTCCCTCGTCGTCGTCTTCGTTGGTGACGTCGTCGTCGTCTTCGTCGTCGTCGTCGGCGTCGTCGTCGTCTTCGTCGTCGTCGACGTCGGCGTTGTCGTCGTCGCCGCCGTCGTCGTCGTCGTCGTCGTCGTCGTCGTCGTCGTCGGCGTCGTTGACGTCGTCGTCGTCGTCGTCGTCGGCGTCGTCGTTGTCGTCGTCGTCGGCGTCGTCGTCGTCGTCGTTGTCATCGTCGTCGTCGGCGTCGGCGTCGTCGTCGTCGGTGTCGTCGTCTTCGTCATCGTCGTCGTTGTCGGCGTCGTATATGTCGTTGGAGACGACGTCGGTGTCGTCGTAGTCGCTGTCGGCGGCGGCGTCGTCGTCGTTGTCGTCGTCGTCGTCGTCGGCGTCGCTGTCGTTGCCAAGTGCCATTTGGTACCCACCGTCACGGTCTTAAGAGATTTTGCAAAACAAGTTGCGGGTGGGTGGATGGGATGTTTGCGCGATCAATGAAGTGGACAACTCACTGCGAACATAACTTAACTGCACAACTTGGAATTCACCTCGTCGGTTGCACCACACGTAGTGTACCACGTCGATAGCACCATATACGCTGCGCACCACATAGACTGCACCGCCTATATTGCACCACGTAGGTAGCACACCATGGTTTGCACCACATATGTTGCACCACATATATGTTGTATTTGAATCTATGGACGTATAGGTATGGTATCACATAGGTTGCACCACAAATATTGCACAACCCAGACTGCACAACGTAGATAGTACCACACATATTGCAAATTACACAGTGTAACGGGTATATTGCACCACATATATTGTTCCACGGGCTTTGCAACATACATTGATAGAAACATATTGTTTTGGGCCCCCACGATGGCTAACATTGTGCTAGGGAAAGCGCACAGGTTTTGAACAGTTCGTTGCGGAGAAACGTATGTTGTATCTCAGGCGAAGTGCCGGTCGACCCAGTAAACACAATGTGTTGTCGTTGTGGCACCGAAAGGCAAATGGCCGCGAAATGGCGTATGTCTAGAGGGCTCGTCTGCACGGCTTTATGTCTAGAGGGCTCTTGAGTGGGCCGAACGGTTTTGCACAGTCCGTGTGATCGGTGCCGAAGTAGGACCCCATGGTGTATATTCGTGGCGTCGTGGTGCAGCGTTGTCGTCGCCGTCCTCGCGCCCCGACCGGTCCGCTTCCCACGTGAGCACCCCCGGGTCGAATCCGCACCTGCGGGGAAGCACGTGAGGATTTGATGGACGCGCTCCCTCCCTGCGGGCTGTGGTCCGTCTGCTCTCGCGCGGCCGGCTCTCGGAGACAGCGCGGCGAACGGGGGCACCGTGAGGGCCGGACATCTTCTGAGAGTGCAATCATGGCCCACCAAGGGGGCAGAGCAGCTTCGAAGGCTACCCCCGTGGCGCGACGGCGGGTCATCCTCGTCGCCCCGCTGCCGTCTGCGCGCGCCCGGCGGTCGGCGCGCGCGGGGGTCAGCCAGGCGCAGGCAGCTCAGCACGTCAGCTCTTGGAGGAGGTGGCCCTCGCTCTGGACGCCACACTGGCGCCCGAGCTCGAGGCGGAGCTCCCAGCGAAGCCGTTTCGGCTTCGTTGCACGACTTTCATCATTGTGACACTTCTCACCTCGATGCTGCGCTCACGACGCTCGTGGCGCGTTCCCGTCGGGCTTCATAACAGATGTCATCGTGATGATGTTCCTGTGGCGATGCACGATTGGATGCACATGAGGGGAGCTAGCGTTTCGTTTGCATTCAGTGGTTTGGCACATCAGCACGTCATGATACTCATCATCATGATGATGGTCGTGTTGCGGCGACGCACGCACAGCATGCAAACGCTCCCTCTAGGGCGCATAAGGCATCAGCGTCCGTTGATACCTTTTGCCTTGGGCAGAGGCCAAGTGCTTCGCACACGCGTGCCCCCGGAGCCTTCGTCCTCCTTTTCCTCCTCCTCCTCGCCCTTCTCCTCGTCCCCTCCGCCTCCTCGTCCTCCACGTTTCCTCCTTGTCCTCCTCCTCCTTGTCGTCCTTCTAGTCTTCCTCCTCATCGTCCTCCTTCTCGTCCTCCTCCTCCTTCTCGTCATCCTCCTCATCGTCCTCCTCCTCCTCCTCCTCGGCTCTCGAGGTTCGAGGATCGAGGGGAGGCGGCGGCTTCTCGTCGACCTCATCACTATCTCCCCCCACTCCTCGATCCTCGCGGTTTGGTTCCAGGCATTCGGCGTTTTCTTGTTTTTTCCGGCCTTTGTCATGAGAGTGGGGCACCCTTCCGCCTCGCGCCGCCTCTCGTCTTCCTCTTATACCCAGATGCCGCCACAGCCAGAGCCATTCACATTCACTCGCACTCAGACTCACTCGTGCCGTGACGCTCTCGCACTCAGACTCACTCATGCTCAGGCTTAGTCATACTCAGATTCGCTCGTATACAGAACCGCTCCAACAACGAGGCATTCAAATTCAGACTGAATCACACCCAGACTCACCCATACTCTGAAACAATCGTATTCAGACTCACTCACAAACACATTCATTCAAACCACGACTCAATCAGATCCAGACTCGATTGAGCACAGACTCACTCGCAAACACTTTCTTACAGCCTGGCTCAGTCGCACTCAGACGACTCATGTCCAAGTCACACGCACACACACATTCGGTTTTTCTCATACTCAGACTCGCTCACACGCAGGCTCACTCAGGATACTCTCTCATATTCATGCGCATCATACCTCATGCTCATGACCATCGCGCTTCAGCATGCGTAGCACTTGCGCCTCCCAAAGGGATGTCGATCAGTGGAGGTCCACGGACCCGTTCGCGCCCAGATTGGCGGGACCTCTCAGGCAGATCGGCCGTTCTGTTTTTGGGGGGGTGGCGGGGAGGGGCGATGTGGCAGGCATGGCACTCTGGAGCTCCCAGGAGACGTCGACCAGGGGTGTTCCATGGGGCCGGTCGCCCCCGGCCCAGGTTGTTGACACACCTCGCAGACAGGGTGACACTTTCTGTGTTGGGGGGTGCTGGGGCCACCACGAGGCTGTGAAGTTCGTCGCGCTTCGCGGTCTGGACGATTTCAGAGCGAGGCGCGAGTCCCCCCTCATCCTGTTCGGGGGGCGAGCGGCGAGAAAGCGCGAAGATGATCGCGTTTCGCGGAGCGCGAAGCGCGAAGGTAGGTGCCTTAGTTGAAAACTCCATGGTCATCGCGATGTAGCAGGCAATGAACTTGGGCCTCCCAAGAGGGGTGCCGACGAGCGGTGTTCCACGGGTCCGTTCGCAGTGCCACCGTCGGGAGAAGCCAGTTGCCCAGGCATCGTTCGCTCGCTCCTCCTTCCCTTCTTTCTCCCCTTCCACTGCCTCCCCTGCATCATCTTCGACTTGCAGGATTTATCTTCCCTCTCCACAGGGGCAACGGTCGGGGGGGTAAGCTCAGGGAGGGATGCACCGATCCCCAAATCACTCATTCATCTCCGATAGGGGCCCGATAGCCTCACCAGGCTCATGCACGTGGGGCTTCTCTACCGGAGGCCTATCGCCGATCGGTCGGTAATGTATCACCGATTCCAGCTCGATGTTTCCCCCCAGGAGCTGCTCCCCCCCCTACCGTTCCCCCTCTCATCTCTTGGCATCGCTCGGACGTGTGCATTTTTTCTCGGCGGGGACCAGTGAGGAGCATCCTGGACCATCTTGCGAAAAAAAATGCACGAAACCGAAACATGCACGGGGAATGGACGTCCGAGCGATGGCGAGATCTCTTCCTCGAGCGAGGCCGCCACTGCCGCACCCTCGGAGCCCGCGCAGACCACGCCCGAGGAGGCGGAGGCCTTGGCGGGGCGCGAGGCGGAGGAGCGGGGCTCGGACATGGAAGGCGTGGCCCCCAGAGGCGCTCAGGCCCACATGGGCGCACGCGACTCGGTACGATCGAAATGGATACGGGAGTCAGGGGCATCGATAGTCTAGGCCTCCCAGATGGGGTCGGAGTAGCTGGGGTCGGAGGATCGCGCCGCATCGCCGATGCATCGACGATGTGGCTCGATGTGGAGCCCGTGTTTCCCCACGCCGACGTCGCCGATGCATCGCCGATGCATCGCTGATACATCGGCGATGCATTGACGATACGGCGCGATCCTTCGACCCGATTTACTCGGACCCCATCTAGAAGGCCTCTAGATAAGGTGGGATAGGCACCGATACCGCTACCATTTGCCCGTTTTCTCCTCTTTGGGCCTCCTGGGAGGCCCTCGTCGCCACCGCTGGATTCGCCTCGAACTTCTGGTCAGAGCGCAGACCGGGAGACGTCCAGGGAGTGGCGGTACCGGTACCTTTCGGTTTCCCCCGAAGTGAGGGGCAAGGGCAGGGTGGGATGGGCAAAAGGGGGGGGTGCATCGCCCCCCAATCGTCCATTCATCGCCGATTGGGGCCCGATAGCCCCACCCCCGCGTTGGGATTTGCTTTCGGGGGCCTATCGCAGATCTATCGGCGATGTATCACCGATTCCAGGTCGATTTTTCCCTCCCCTGCCAGTCCTCCCTATCGTTGCTCCTCAGGAAAGAAGGGGTACGAAGACCAACAGCAGTCCCTGCCCATCTTGAACAGGATTCGCCGTCGGTGTCGTCGCGGGCGCTGTCAAATTGAGATTACAGACCGCCTGCCCAACAACGGCTGCTGTCGGTTTTGGACAACAGTTGTTGTTGGGCACCGTGCCCATTTGTTCCGAACCCATTCCGGGCGTCCGAAGTAGCCCGGTTCAGCGCAAGCGTGATTGAGCCAGGACGCTCGATCTCCCAGGATCGACTACACGTAAGAGTGACCTTTCGCCGGAGTGACCTTTGGTGCGGGCCCAACGGGGCCCCCCGATCGCCGGACGCGATACGGTAGGTGCGTCTCGTGCGCTCGTTTTTGGCCCCCCCCGCGGCCCCCAAAAAGCCGCGCACCAAAGGTCACTCTTGCCCAGGGTCACCCTTACGTGTAGTCGACAGGATCCTGCAACGCCAGAGTTCGGCTGGCCCAGGTCTGGGAGCCGCTCGCGGCCCTGGATGTGCCCTGCCGTATCGGCTGAGCAAGGTCTGGGAAGCCCCCTTCCCCTGGAAAGATGCAGCGCGTTTTTCCCTTGAGTGGCGGAGCCGGGTTTGCGCTGAGCTGGGTTAGTGCGTCCCTGAGCCCAGAGCTCCTCGGAGGTCTTCCGGGGGTTTTCGTCGGTGTGGGGGGTACGGAAGGAGGGAGGCTTTTTTTGTTTTACGCTTTCCAGCCTCAGGATGCATCCTTCTCGTTCTCCTCCTCCTCCTCGCCCGCCTCCCCCTCATCCCCTCCTCGGTGCTCAAGGTCCGAGGATCGAGGCTCAGAAACAAAGGTCGGGCGCGGGTTCCAGAAGTTTTCGGGAGATTATTTGCAGGTCTTCTCTGGTGGTGTCGTTGGTTCCTGGAGTTTTTCTCGCCTCGGGGAGCTGCTTTTCAGCAGCTGTGCCTCGCGTGAATTCCTGGCGTCGCGATGTTTTCGCAGTGGCTGTTTTCGCCTGCATCCAGCCCTCTTCTGGAGATCCGGCTCGAGAAATGCAACCAAAAAATTGGGCTGGGTCTTTCGTTTGGTCGGGCATGTCCCCCTACAGGCGGATTCGGGGCGAAAATTTCAAAATAGTCCAAATATTCAAAAATGATTCAAGACAAATTCGTCCCCAGATTATGAAAGCGCGCCACTGGATCACCCTGTAATTGAAAACGGGGGGCATGCTCGCAGAACCCCACCCCCCCCCTCCACCCCTTCAAAGGGGGGGGAGAGATTTTTGACCCCCCCCTCCTTCCCCCCTCCCCCCCTTGGCGCTGGAAAGGGGGGGGGTTGGACCCCACCCCCTCCCTCCCTCCCTTTGCGCCGAACAGGGGGCTGGGGAGGGGGCCCCCCCAGCCCCCAGAGTAGTGAGTAGTGAAGAGGGAGTAGTCAGTAGTCTGTAGTGAGTAGTGAGTAGTGAGTATGCAGTAGTGCGTACCGAGTAGGGAGTAGCGAGTAGTGAGTAGTGAGTAGGGAGTAGTCAGCAGTGAGTAGTGAGTAGTGAGAAGGGAGAAGTAGGTATTGAGTAGTGGGTAGTGAGTAGTGAGTAGGGAGTAGCGAGTAGGGAGTAGTGAGTCGTGAGTCGTGAGTAGTGAGTAGTGAATAGTGAGTATCTAGTGAGTAGTGACTTGCGACTAGTGAGCTGTGAGTAGGGAGTAGTGAGTGGTGGGTAGTGCGTAGCGCGTAGTGGGTAGTGAATCTTCCGTATTGGGTAGCGAATAGGGAGTAGCGAGTAGTGAGTAGTGACTGGTGAGCAGGGAGTATTGTGTAAGGAGTATGGAGTAGCGAGTAACGAGTTGCGGATAGTGAATAGTGAGTTGTGGGCAGCGCGCAGTGGGTAGTGAATTGTGAGTACTCAGTATTGAGTAGTGGATAGTTGTTAGTGCGTAGTGGGTCGTGCTTAGTGAGTAGTGGGCAGTGAGTAGTTTATTTTGTGAGTAGTGAATATTGAGTACTGGGTAGTGAGTAGTGAGTTGTGAGTTGTGAGTAGCGAGTAGGAAGTAGGGGGTAGTGAGTAGTGGGAGCGTAGTGAGTAGTGAGTAGTGGGTAGTGAATCGTGCGTATCGGGTAGCGAGTAGGGTGTAGGGAGTAGCAAGTAGTGAGGAGTGAGTAGTGAATAAGTACTGTGTAGGGAGTAGCGAGTAGTGGTTTGTGAGTAGTGAGTTGTGGGTAGTGGGTAGTGAGTCGTGAGTAGTGAAGTGTGAGTAGTGAGTAGTACATAGTGGATAGTGGTTCGTGGGTAGTGAGTAATGATTTGTGATGTGTGAGTAGTGGGTGAGTTGTGTTTCGTGAGTAATGTGTATTGAGTACTGGGTAGTGAGTAGTGAGTAGTGGGTTGGGAGTAGCGAGTCGGAAGTAGGGAGTAGTGAGTAGCGGGTAGTGTGTGGTGAGTAGTGGGTAGTGAGTAGTGAGTCGTGAGTAACGAGTAGTGAGTAGCGGGAAGAGAGTAGTGAGTTGCGAGTAGTGGGTAGGTAGTGGATAGTGAGTAGTGCGTAGTGCGTGGCGAGAACTGTTTGGGGCTAGGGCTAGGGTTGTGGTTTAGGGCTAGGTTTAAGGATTAGGGTAAGGGTGAGGACAAGCGGACAAGACTCCCTCCCCGCCCGCAAGCCGTCTCGCTCACTCCCACCCGCCCTCCCAACACAGAGGTAGCCCCCGAGCCTGGCCTGAGCCTCAGCATGTTCAGCAGTCGTCTTTGGATGGGCAGCTACTGGGTGCGCATCCGCCGCCGCCGCCTTCGCCGCCCTCCGCCGCCGCCGCCGCGCCGCCGCCGCCGCGCCGCCGCCGCTGCCCGCCGCCGCCGCCACCGCGCCCCCCGCCGCCGCCGCCGACGCCCCCGCTGCCGAATCGCCGCCGCCGCAGCCGCCGCAGCAACCGCAGCCGCTGCCGCCACCGCTGTCGCCGCCGCCGCCACCGCCGCCGCCGCCGCCGCCGCCGCCACCGCCGCAGCCGCCGCAGCCGCCGCAGCCGCTGCCGCCGCCGCAGCCGCCGCCGCAACCGCCGCCGCCAAGTGTATTCTGTTGTTTTGTCAGGGAGGGTGGGGGGAGGCCGCATCGGGTTGGCTGCGCATGCCCCGACTGACTTTGGAGGCAGAGTGTGCTTTATATTGCTTTTGACAAAGAATGCTGGGGGGGGCCCGCATGGTCCCTGGTTGGCTGCGAGTCGCCTGGGGGAGGGGGTGTATATATTAGGGGTGGCATGGGTCGGGTTCCAGAGGCCGGGGGCGCCGTGGCGAAAGGTTGGGGAGGGGGGGGGGGTCGGACCCCCCCCCCCTTTTGAAAGGCGCGGGGGGGGGGTCCCCGACGACGGACCGGGAACGGGGGGAGGGGGGGGGGGTTCCCCGACGACGGATCGGGAAAGGGGGGGGGGGGGTCCCCGACGACGGATCGGGGAAAGGGGGGAGGGGTTCCCCCCCCTTGGGGACATCCAGCGGCGCGCCCTCCCAGATTATTGTTGGCCTATTTTTGAACATTCCTCCTGTAGAGGGACAGTCCCGACTGAAGTCTTTTGACGATGTTTACCTTTTCACGCGACGTGGGATCTCAGGGACCTCGCCGAGAGCGTTCCGGGGGAGTCGGGGGAGTGCCCGAATGGTTTCGATCGGCCGCCGGGGGCCCGAGCTGTGTCCCGAAAAGTCGCCCCCTCGCGTCGCGAGAAGATCGCGGCGGAGGGTCATTGTCCGTCGTCCTGGGCCGTCGAGGAAGGAGGCAGGCGCAAGAGTTGGCCCCAGGGAAGGAGTTGAGACTGCCCAGGGCTCACTTTGCGAAGCGAGCGCGACGTCGGAGCTCTTGGGAAGGCCCCTGCGTCGTGTTCAGATTCCCCCCTTGGAGGAGGCGGCGAACGCGGCGAAGGCCGAGGCGGAGGCGCAGGCTGCGAGGGACATGCAGGTGCTCCTCCTCCGCCTCCTCCTCCATCTCCTCGCCCTGTCCTCCTCCTCCTCCTCCTCCTCCTCCTCCTCCTCCTCGTCTCTTACAGGATCTTCGACCACATTAACGGTGACGATTTCGACGCTCTCGACCTCGACGACCTCGACCTTGACCTCCTGACCTTTGCAACTTCGACCGCGATCATAGTGACGACCTCGACGACCTCGACCTCAACGACACTCCCTCTTCCGCATGGTTGAGACGACACTTCCAGTCTCGATGACGATGACAACGACGACGGCGGCGGAGGCGGCGATAATCCGAAGGGAAATGCAAAAAACGAAGATGTCGTCGGGAGGGCAGAAGCAGGAGAGAACAGAGGGGGGAGGGGGAGAGAGGCGAGAGGAGAGAGGAGGTGGAGGTGGAGGAGAAGGATGGAAAGGGGGAGGGAGAGGACAAAGAGGAGGACGGGTTGGGTCGGGTCGGTGCTTCGGCAGTCTGGGCTCGCTCCTCCCAGGCTCGAGGAAGCTTGCCTTACTTGGACGGACAAAACTGCTACAGTCGGACCGAGGTGTAACATCGAGTCCGGTTCGGGTAGGGTACCCTACTTAGTGTTCGTCGTGCTTGTTGGATGTTGTGGTGCATTCTGTGAGAGGGTATCCTCGAATGCTCCTCGTTTTGGCTGGCGGAGGGTCGCATGTTCTTGAAGGATGTTCCTCTGTCGTGGGTCAGACTCTGTCGCGGAGTCATTCTGGAGACCGCGGAGCGCTCGAGGGACGCACGAAGAGGACGAGGACGGAGGAGTCGTTGACGCTGGAGGCGAGGGCGGCAGGCAGCGTCGGCCTCGGCGCGCCGCGGCCAGGGCCGCCAGTTTCCCGCCGCCCCGTCTTCGCCGCCGCTGTCGTCGTCGTCCTGGTTCTCCTTGCCGTCGTCGTCTTCGTCGCACTTCATTGAGATCCTTGCGTCGCAATTTTGTCACAGTGGGCGGTTCTGCCTTGCGTCGAGGCCCGAGATCCCTCATGGAGCGATCCAGTTTTTTTTACATATAGCAGGCAGATGAGGTCAAGATCTCTGGTCGAGGTTTAAACCATGTTTCAGTTGTTCTTGACGTAAGATCTCGGGATTCGTCGTCGTCGCTCTCGTCCTCGTCCTCGCCGTCTCGGTCGTCGGGGATCCTGACACGACTCCCAGTCGATCACAGCAGCGAAGACGACGACGGCTTTGGCCACTGGATGCGTTGCAGCGGTCTCGGGGGGCCTGTGGAGGTCTACGGGGTCTCCTGGAGGTTTGTGGAGGCTGGAGAGGCGCGATCTTCGAGAGTCGATCCTCGATGATCGAGAATCGAGGTTTCCTCGCTTCTTATGAGGATCGGCCCCTCAGCTCCCAACTCTTTCCTTGGGGTATTTGTTCGTCCCGTATCGGGTTTCGAGGGCCCTTGGGACCGACAGCGGACCCCATAGGCCGAAACCGAGTAAAAACATATTCGGACTGAAGCAATCAGATCGTCGGAGATTTGGGTTGCCTCCGCCGTATTCATGCTGATTCCGTCGACGGCGAGGTCTTGGCTGCGGCGGCGGCCTTGAGAATCGATCCTCGAGAATCGATATTCGAGAATGGAGAACAGCGGCCACCTCGCATCTTCGAGAGTCGAGGCCTCGGCGGCGAGGTCTTGGCGGTGTTGGCGACGTCGACAACGGCGACGGCGACGCCTCCGGCGCAGAAAATGGCGACAACGACGACGACGACCACGACGACGACGACGACGACGACGAGAGGAGCAGTAGCATGAGGCATGAGACGGGGTGGAGGAGAAGAGAGGAGAGAAGACAAGTTAGGTGCGCAAGCGTCTTATCTGACGTCCTACCCCTCCGTCCCACCACTTTCCATGACGTAGATCCCCTTTCCATTCGCACAGTCGGATGCCGCTCCGGGCAATGACCCCGAGAGGGTACGACATGCATGGTAGAGCACGGCGTACCACTGCGAAGAAGAACACGGAAGAGTGTCGTCGGGTCGAGAACGCGATTTTTGTTTCGACAACAGGTTCTGAGGGAAACGAGGCATGACGCAGAACGGGAAATGTAAATAGACGGTGTGGGAACACTGGGAGCATAACATGAAAGCCAGCCCTGGACGAGAACACGACTCATTTGGACACAGGTTCTGAGGGGAAGCCAGGCAAGACGAAACATGTAGAGGGTCGGTTCGGAAAGAGCGGAAGCATAACATGAGAGCCAACGCTGTAGCGGGAGCAAGATCTGGACGTTGCGCAACGAAGAAATGTGGTCAGCGCTGCAACGGGAATCTTCAGTTTCGAAGGACCGAGGGCCAGAGCATGGAGCCAACGCTGTAGCGGGAGCGCCAGTGTGGAAACACCGAATGCATTCGGACTTATCTTATTCCGACGGTGGGACCCCACACAAGAATCTGTTCAGCTTGCCCCTCGCTCGTTCCTCTTCGCCTTGGCGGAGGCCCTCCTCCCGCCCTCTGTTGCGCCTCCTCATCATCCGCCTCTTCGCCCTTCGTCTCCTCCTCCTTCTCGTCCTCTCCCTTTTCCTCCTCCCCCTCCTCTCCCTCCTCCTCCTCTTCCTCCTCCTCTTCCTTCTCCTCCTCCTCCTCCTCCCCCTCCTCCTCCTCCTCCTCCCCCTCCTCCTCCTCCTCCTCCGAGATTGATGGTCTGCAACGACCTATGAGAGATGACATGGGTTCTCTTGAGATGGCCATGACAGATTATGAACATATGTCTTCCACAGTATGGCGTCTTCGCTATTGGCGCACATGGCCTCAGTGGTCGTGCCCGCTCGAGATATTGCGTTTGCCATTTCTCCCTGAGTGGACAAAGTCGCGAAGGGCTCGAGCTCGCGTTGGATTGGGCCATGGAGCTTTCGAGCTCGAGCCCAACGGTTCTGCTGTCGAGGATGAAACGGGGGTGTTTTGGCTACGACCAGGCACTGGAGTTTTTCCTGGAGGTACGGGGGCGACTCTCATTTTCGTACGCACCTTCTCCCAGCCAGTGATGCAGCACGTAGCCGACATGTTCTGTGGAGCAGGATGGCGCATCGCTGTCGAAGCCAGACTGCCGTGGGGTGACCAAGGGCAGGACATCAGGCAGATCGCACTTACTGGATTTGTAGATGATATCGCCAACAAATTCATGGAGAAGGGGACAGGAGGAGGAGCATAAACCATAGCAGCCGGGTCAGCAGCGGAGAACTTAGCGATCGACATGGGAATGTAGGAGGTGGGAGCCAGCCAGAACATTAGCAAGCAGGATAATATATCGCTTCTCACTGGCGCTGGGCCTTATGAGTCGTCACGCGAGCTTGACCGCGGCAACTCGAAGGTGGACGGCACCACCAAGCATCGCGCCAGATATATAGGAGGACATTTTACCTCCACCTTTTCACCAGTTCCCGAGCTGCTGAAGCGGCAGCGTGCAGTACGTGTGAGCTTTTACTCGATGGGAAAGTTCTTGTATTCGAACGCCCCATGGAAGCTAAAAGCCAACCTGGTCAAGAGTCTTCTAGTGAATACGGCCCTGTCTGGGATGGAGGTCTGGGCCAGAGGCACGGGCCCCCTGGTACCTAGAGATCTCGCGGGACTCGAAGGGTTCATAGTAGCCAAGGGCCGAGCCATATTTCAATGGACGCGTTCATGGTCTGAGGAAAAAGTTCGCACAATATCCAATCATGAGGTTTTACGCAAGTTTGGTTTGGGACCGCTGTTCCTGGAACTTAGGCTTAGACGACTAAGATGTATCAAAGTATGTCCAGGGCGAAAGAGTTCCGTGGGCAGTTCTGGGCAGCCATGATTGGTATCATGGCGGTGGATGGGGAGGTACTTACTAACGGGAGGGTGGTAAAAAGGGCATCCTTGGGCACATCAGTTGCATCAAGATGTTGATTCTTTGGCAGCCATCGAAGCAGGAGCCGACCTGCTAGAAGAGGCTTAGCACAGACTAGATCGTGTATTATTTGAGCTGGAGAGGATTTCCAGGCAATCGATGTCAGCGAGTTGCGGGCCGCCTTTTTGATGCAGCCGCCAGCCGTCACCAGCGCGGCTCCCTCGACGGACCAGAGCGGCGAGTTTGCTTGCAGAGACGTTATGCCAGACGGATCGCAATGTCTATCTAAATGGCCGGCATACAAACAACTCGTCGCACACATCGCTCCGACGTCGGGAGGTACGCACGGGAAGCTGCACATCGCAAGAATATGCACTATTACTAATCAGTGTACCATATGCTCGAGCGCGCTTCGTGATCGTACGGTCGCATTGCAGCATGATAAGCGAAGTCTAGTTCGTTAGTTCTGCCCCTACAACAAAGGTCGCTTCCAAAGTCATGTACTCGAAACGGATGCCAGGAAGTGTCACGTATGTCTAGAGGAGTTCGACACCGCAGCCGAGTTGTCCAAGCATGTTTTCTCTCATCTTCGTCCTTTTCTGGCACCGAATTTTCATGTTAAGGTCGCAGGACGACGCATCAGGCTCGGCGAGGCCTCGCAGCAAGAGCTTTGCGATCGCATCCGAGCAGAGAGAGAGAGAAAGAACGAAGACGGAGGACGGGATGGAGGTCGTATCAGACGAGGAGGAGGAGAGCAACGCCAAGCAGTCTGTGCGAGACAAGCTGATCACCCAGCTCGAGACTCGCGTGAGAACCCTCGAGCAGGTCAATTTCACCACCCTCATGCTGGAGCGCAAGCATCCTCTGGTGGAGGCCATGCTCAACAGTTTCCAGGACTTCCTGAAAGTGAGGAAAGAAAATCCAGACAAGGAGCTGGCCGCCCCCGCGTGCCAAGCCCTTTTCGTGGCTCTCGCGCGCTTCCCAAACAGATCGAGGAAGCAAAGGGAGGGGAAGGGGACGAGGTAGGCATACAGATGACGCCGCTCGACCTTCCCAGTGAGCAGATGTCCATGGCAGGCATGTGGGTGAGCGTCGAGCAGGTGTTGTGTGAGCAGATGCGCAGTATAGGTGCCACAGTGAAGTACAATCGTGCCCCGAGAGGCAACATGGCCAGGCA